TGACAGCCCGGGGGGCAAACTTCCAAGAGGCGGCGCGCCTGGCCACAGGGGGAGTCTCCCTGGTGGTCGGGCGCATTGAGGCGCTGGGCTTACGGGTGGCCCTAGATAAGACGGAGGCCCTGTTATTTCATGGGCCCCGTCGTGGTCCACCCCCTGGCGCCTCAATCGTGGTCAACTCGGTCCTCGTACCGGTTCGGGCCCAGATGAAATATCTGGGCCTGATCCTCGACGGGAGGTGGCTCTTCGACGAGCACTTCCGACAGCTTGCTCCAAAGCTGGTCGGCGCTGCGTCTGCCCTAGGGCGACTTTTGCCCAATATGGGTGGACCCAGCGTCGCGACAAGACGGCTGTACACGGGGGTTGTCCGGTCAATGGCACTGTACGGTGCACCGGTGTGGGCAGCGGCTCTGACCGCCCAGAATAGGGTACGCCTCTGGCGCCCTCAGAGGGTAATGGCGGTCAGAGCCATACGCGGTTACCGCACCGTTTCGACGGAGGTGGCGTGCGCGTTGGCCGGAACTCCCCCGTGGGATTTGGAGGCGGAAGTGCTCGCCGAGGTTTATCGACGAGTGGCTGACTCCCGGGCGGAGAGCGGATTTCGCCCTCCGCCCGAGGATGTGCGCGAGTGGCGCGAAGCCGCTCGCCGAGCCACGATGGCTCGTTGGTCGTTCCGGCTGGAGACTCCACGCGCTGGCTTCGCCGCCGTGGAGGCTCTCCAGCCGGTCATCGCCGAGTGGGCAGGGCGGCAGCACGGGACCCTTTCCTTCCGACTGACGCAGGTGCTTTCCGGGCACGGTTGCTTCGGAAAGTACCTGCACACGGTCGCTAGGAGGGAACTGAGTCCCGCCTGCCACCACTGCGACTGCAGTGAGGACTCGGCCCAGCACACGCTGGCGGTCTGCCCCGCATGGGCCCTCACTGCAGTCATCGGAGTGGATCTCTCGCTACCGGCCGTAGTACGCTCCATGGCCGGTAGCGACAGTTGTTTTACCGCGGTCGCAACCTTCTGCGAGGTAGTAATCTCGCGGAAGGAGGCGGCGGAGAGGGCCCGGGAGGACGACCTCCACTCGGACCCGATCCGCCGCCGGCGAACCGGGCGGCGGAGGCCCGCCTACCTCAGCCTCATGCCGCCCTGAGTGTGGCCGCGGGTGGACGGGGTGGGTTTCCCCTCCACCCGCATTAGTTGGCCAGCCGCGAGGGGGCGGCGTCCGCGTGTGCCGGACGTCGCCTAAAGAGAGGAACATCTACATTGAGACGGAGCCCGCACCAGGAGCGGGCTGGCGCTAGGAGGGGTCCGGATGTCTTAACAACAGCTGTTCCGGGATCCCTCCTGTTACAGGCGCAGAGTGGCACACCGTGTGGTTTTAGTCGGTCCGAGTCCGACACACCACCCCGCCGCAAACCCCGGAGGGGTGACGGTCCGAGGGGATTTCCACACGTTAAAAAAAAAAAAAAAAAAGAAAAAAAGGGTTGGTTTCAAGTTTTCCTTCTCTTTACAGTGCTGTTGTTCTGCTTATTTTTCCCTTAGTCAGCTCTTACGACACCCACGGGATGAAGGGGTTGTGATACTCCGTATTCTTAAAAGAAGACAGAAAATGTATCTAGGAATAGTTGCTTAGCCAAAGTAAATATAATGAATTATATATCCATGAGCCTAACATTAGTTTGAGATTTACAAGTAAAATAAATGACAAAAATCATCCTCGCTTACCTAATTTATCTTTTAAAAACCCCAAACTCGTTTATAACTCATGTAATTGCCAATGGGAGAAACTTTCTATGAAATGTCAACCACAAAATTTAATATACGAGACATCTAAGAGTGCTTACATCCTGCAGCTTGCTTGTGTATATTCAGTATAGTCCCTTAGTTTAAACCTAAAAACTTCACAGTAGACAGTAGACATACGAATCCCACACGAATTAATTAAAACTGCCGGCATGTTGGTGTGACCATGTGTCAACTACCAATTAAGATCTATTAAGTCGTGTGTCATTCGTAATTTGTTGTACAATAGCTTTACACCACAAATGTATCTCGGTGGAAGATTTCCTTGACGATTATACTTGGTCAATTAACAAGCATAACGATACTTCGTACTGGAAAGGATGGAAAGAAGAAATAGATTATATTCATAACAAATTTAAACTCTGTAATCAAGTTGCTTAAGTCAATTTTACTTTAGAACTGGCCGCTTATTTAGTGAGTATATCAAACGCATAGTGAAGTGAATGTGACGATGAAGACCATTGATGGCCACAGGTACTGTGCAGTAATATATATTTCACGGTCGCAATGCATTTGATGAAGGTGACACTGAAGTACCAGAACAACTCGTTAACAATTATAACGTCGTACGTATAAGGTAAGCAATTGATTATTTTTTTGAGAACCGACTTTAGACGATAGCAGTCTGCCACGACGCCTCTTTAGTCGATCCATAATAACAGGTCTTACTACCAAAATTGTGACGTTCCGTGACTTATTACTACAGACGTATTTGTAGATTATACACACACATATATATGTATATATATAATAACAATAATATTATTTTATATAAACGATAAGGTTTATTTCAAATTACAAAAGAACTCTTCTAGTAAGCCATAGGTTATTGATTATGTGAACGCACTTATTGAAAAATATCTTCAAGGAAGGGCTTTCAATAAGTGGATTAATTATTTCATTAGTTTAGTGCTAGATGTTTCATTGGACAATATGGTTTTTCTATCACTAAACTTTTAAAATATTAGTATGTTGAAAACAGTACTCGCGAAGACACATGAGTGCCAAATAAACTAGTACACATCACATCATCACATCAACAGCCTTTAATAGTCCACTGCTGGACATAGGCCTCTACTTAGAAAGCAGGTTTTGGCCTACTATACCACGCTGGCCAGACGGGTTGGTATAGGGTTTGTGTCAAGTTTTCCTTCTTTTTGCAGTACACCAGCGTTGTTTTGTCGCCCTTAGTCGGCTCTTACGACACCCACGGGATGAATTGGGGTAGTGACATTCCGTATTCTTCATCCGTCACTACACGGACAACTAGTACACAATACGATAGTATCTGAGGTGTCAATTAAAAGCAGTCCTTAAAAAACATACATACTTCCATACTTATACTATAGATGTAAAGGTTGTAAAGAGAGTTTCTTTGTTTGTTCGTTGTTTCGCTTTTACGCCTAAATCACTAAACCGACTTTAAACATTCTTTCACCGATGGAAAGCTACATCATCAGCGAGTAACATAGACTACTTCTTACGGCGATAACCGACATACAAGTGGGCAGAGCCCCCCGCAAATGCTAGTTTATTATAAATGTGAAAGTGAGTTTATTTGTTTGTTACGATTTCACGCCTAAACGTCTGAACCGAATTCAAAAATCCCTTCATCAATGGAAAGCTACATCATCAGCGAGTATCATAGGCTGTTTACCGCGATAACCGACATAAACGCGGGCATAGCCGCGGGCAAAAGCTACTCATAAATAAACTGGAACTAATTAAATGCTGGACCAGGTCTCGATCATAAAAATATAATTTTAGCATAAATTAGTTAATACTAAGAAATTAAATATGATCACAAAAAATGTTAACAAATTCGAAGAAGTATGAGGGCATTTAAGTCTTTTGACAGCTGACCCCACTTGTCACTCCGTAAAACGTTTTGAAACATACAGCGTGATTAAATGTTTGAATGTATTTAAAATAATTGATTTAAAATACAATTTAAAACTGTCTATCTATTTATCTACGTCCTTTCGTAGTCTATGTTACGCATCAGGTGTCTATAGCTAAACGGTTTCTACGTTCTATAATAATATTACACTGCAAAACCAATTGCATCAAAATACAACAATACCCCTACAATTTTCGAAGAAACAACGCAAGCTGAACAAATACAATTATTGACATAGCATATAAAATTTCCAGTTCCGCATAATAATAAATAAGGATGTTTTAATTCGAAACTAGTTAATCTAATAACCTACTTATAAATGTTGTAATTCAGTGTTATATAATCAGTTGTTGAAATATTGACGTGACAATTTTTTTTAATTACACTCGTACAACATTGTATAATCCATTGTATTCTTTGTGTACAACTGTGACTGTGTACTAAAAGTGGACAATCTATTTTGTATTCTCGTTAATATCGTTAATTATATTATTTGTTAAAGTAATTGACTTTTAATTTATTTAAAAATTAATGAAGTTTTTCTTGCGGTAATACAGCCACGTTTCACCAATTGACCGAGGTCAAGGGAATCATAACTTAACCTTCCCTAATTCTATGAGGGGGATGGACATTCAAAGAATGTCAGCGCACCAGTATCTTTTGAGTTGCATGTGTCAATGAGCGGTGGTAGTCACTTACCATCAGGTGACCTGTCTGCTTGTTTGCCTCCCCATACCGTAGAAAAAGTAATGCTCAGTATTATTATGAATTTATAACAGTTACCTTTAGAGTATGGTTGTGTTGCCAAAATTCAATACAGGCATTATTGTTCAATAGAAAACTAGAATTGACAATAGACAAAACCTACCTATGATATTTCAATGGATTATATCAATACCCTCATAATAAATTTGGACAAAGGTACAAGAAAATAATATATCTAGATATAGACACCGTAACTGGGTATATTGCGTTTTTAACGTATCTATAATGAGTAACGATAGCCGTATTGGCCTCATTTGAATATTAAAATGCATTTCCAATTTATATGAACAAAGGTATTTGTGTGTCTTTTAGTGACTCACTAAAAACCTTCACTTATAAGGAGACTCAACGGTAGTCGGAAACCATTCGCGAGGAGGAACTTTTCAACACGCTGTATTAAACATAAAATTGTGATAAAAGTTGTGTTTGTATGATATTTTTCATAAGCTGTGTAAACGTGATAGGGTTTGAAGTGCCCAATTTTATTTTGCGTAAATGTTGTTTTCTAATATGGAATATAGTATATTGTTTTTTGTATTATCTCTTATGTCCGCATGGCAAGTAAGGTCAATGTCTTTGAAAGGTCCAGCTTTGACAACGTACCACCCTTGTGGTTTAGGATTATTGCATTTCGACAAGTTACTTGATAACACCTGGAAAGGAGTATTACACTTCGGTTTATATACAAATCTCATTGAAGCAGATATTGTGATAAATTTTCAGAAAGAGAGTACCATAACTGGGGTAAGTTTTTTTTATTCTTGTAATTCCTTTTTTTAAATCATAAACTAATGATTGCAGTTTTTATATTTTGATAAATAAGTAATTATAAACGGCGTGAAGTGATATTCAAATTATTTTTATTAAATAAAAAATTTAAGCGACCAACATTCTTTGAGCCATCTAAAGGCTCAGGCGTACTTCCTTGTGCAATAAATAGTACTTACCCCAAGCAATGGATTGATTCGAATCCCCAACATGACGAATCTCAGGGACGAATTTGTTAGTTTACTATACAGAATAAGCTATATTTTTATTTCGTAAAGTATATTATAATTTTTTCAGGACTTTATGTCGACTAACGTTGAAGCCCAACGGACAAACAAATATAGTTTTATAGTACATGCAGTTCTGCCGCTTCCAAATAAATTCACATTTTATATTTCAACCGATCAAATAGCAGTGAACGAGACTGATGTACCCACTGTCACATACTTAAGTTTCAATAACATCACTCTTTGCAATGATCAGATAAAGGTACAGTTAACTACTAGTAACTAATTATTTTACTGTAGGCAGCCTACAGTAGTCGCGCGAGTTGAATGCCAAACATGCGAACGCAGGGGAATATTACGGTCGCAATATTTGCAATAGGCAGTGAAGAGCTGGAACATCCTCCCGATGCTCCAGATTCCAATAATAAACGAAAAGTTCGATCACAATTCAGTTCCGATCAACTCTCGATCTCACAACTGTCACAAAAGGGATTTTCGTAGTAAAGTATTAAACATCCTACGTTAACTGTAATGTGAATATATCGTATTGTAACCAAAAATTGAATCGGTAATCTGCTAATCTTAGTTATACATTACTATTTTACTACGAAAATACCTTTTATGACAGTTCCGAGAGTTGATCGCAAAGGAATCTCGACTGAGAAAAAACAAGGCTTAGCCTCACGTAAGATAGATCTATATTTTGAAATCCTTTGATCAGGAATCAAACAAGCAACCTATTAATGGAGGCAAAATTTTTGCTATATACTCCAAATGTAAAAGCTTATTTTAGGCTTGATTTGATTTATAATTTGGCAGGCATCACAAACAGTGAAATCACTTAATGTCACGGAAAGGTTTTCATCAAATTATGCCCACGTTTGTGGCAGAAGAGCTCTTGACCACGAGGAGGTGGTATCCGTCCGAACAGAAGCAAAGGCTGGTGACTGGCCATGGCATGTGGCTATATTCATCAGGAATAATAATAATGGACTAAACTATTTTTGTGGTGGAAACATTGTGTCCAGAACTGCCATAGTAACAGGTAAAAAACTTAAAGGTAGGTAAAAAAAATTCAGTGAAAGGAACTTCGTTCTTTCTTCCGTCCTAACTTTCGTCGATCATATTGGACATTGTCGAAATGTTTTGGCATTTATTTTTTTATTAGTTTTCCGTTTTCCGTAGACATAGGCCATACACAATGGGAGAGGCCTATGTCCAGCAGTGTACTGCGATAGGCTGATGATGATAATGATGATTCTGTTATAGCAGACATCCAGTGTATTACCATTTCACCTGATTAAAGAAAAATCAATATTTAAAAAGTACAAGAACGGTAAATTTGTTATCACTACTTGACATTATGGAGGAATTTCTGTAATTATGGACCTCTGTATGTATGTATGTATAAGGCAATACCGTCTCGGGTACCAGTTGCCGGGGAACCAGGTGTACCCTAGGAAGGAAATCCCTGGAACCCCGGGCCATCTGTGGCTTGTGCCATGGTGTGCCCCTTCTACAACCTAAAGCGGGCCTGCTTCTGCTAGGGTGACAGAGTTCCTCACCTGTCACCCCAAAGCCTGCGCTTATGGAGGACGGAGGTCGTTTTACGACCTCGGGTGCTTGAATCTCCTGCGGTACCTGGCCCGCTCCCGGGCCTGACGAGAGTTCAAAATCTCTCCCCACTCCACTCCGCCGTCTCGTGCACAAACATAACTTGCTGGCAGAAGGAGACGGTGGAGTTCCACGCGCTCTCGCTCCGTGCCATGGCCGTAATCATGGTATTATTATAGAATTCAGACTCCGATGGCCGCCACGAGGTCACGCCTCTGTTCAACCCACGCCGGCACTCTGCCAGCGTATGGAGTGTCGTGTCCACGGTCAGGCCATCGTAGTGGAGATACTCAAAACAGCTATGACTATTGTTTTCTAATACAAAATAAAACATATGCGCATGCGACAGTTAAAACTTAAGAAGCTTGTAAATAGTGCGTAAGTTAGTTAGTTAGTTACACTACGTAAATAACAAGGATTAGTGCTTACACAAAATCTCACCATTTCATAATGAAGTTTAGAGATTCTATGTATTCTACAAAGTATACTGCAGCTCATATCCATTGTGGTAAGTGGTTATTTATATTTTGTTCTAAATGGTTGCAAAATGCCAGGTGACCTCAGCACTCAAACGTATCCCATTCATGCAGTGTATAGTTTTATAAATTGCATAAGTTTAATCAAATACAAAATTATGACATAAAATTCATACAACGTATTTCGACAATAAAATGAACAAGTCAACAATCAAGCATCATAATTTAGAATTGACACATTCATTGACAACTAGACCATATTAACTTAAATTACTTACCGTTAACTTCTAATACAGAAAATAACTATTTCCAAAATATAACTCACTCCGCAACACAACTACAATGCAATATAGTACGATGAACACTGGCACCTGAACTAGGCCGAGCCTGTATTTCAGATGCTAGTTTGTGTCGTAGACATTATTCATGCATTTTATTACTATTGTTATTATACCTTAGTGGCTACTTAACTCTTTCCTATCACTTATAAAAACTATCAATTCTATATTCGCCTGTTGTTATATCTAAATTTATATAAAATCTGTACAAATAATACTGCAGTGGTGTACAATAAAGAAATGAAAAGGTAACGTCATAGTTTTATGTTATAGTTAAAAAACAAGAAGGAATGAGCTGACTGCCAACCTACACCTTATATGTGGTTAATGTTATAATTTTGTTTTTTGTAACTAATACCTAAAACTGTTGTTACATCTGTTGTTTGATATAGGGGTAAACAAGAAGGTGGGTCACCTGATGGTAGGTAACTACGTGCATTAAAACTACGACTATGGGCAACGACGACTCTAAACTTTCACTTTATGTGTGATTCAGGAAACAAATACATAAAATTCAATGAATGCGTATTAATTTTTCAGCTGGTCACTGTGTCTTCAAGGCAGGTGCTTTAGTAGCAGCAAACAGAATTCTCGTAGTAGCTGGTACAAGCACCCACAAGGATATTAGCCATATTGGCAGACAGGCACTAAACGTTAGTAACATAATTGTATACATATAATATGTAAATATAATTGAAAGATGACATATAATCGATTTAAAACAAAATAAAAAATGTTTTCGCGTTTTTTACGTGGCAACTCTAAAAACACAGTGATGAGTTCTCGATGAGTATTAAACTTATCATAGTACCTATAGTTAAGTTTTCTTAAGACTGCTACACACGGTATTATTTTGCAACATGGATAATCTGCCGAAACTGCGTCACAAAAAGATTTAAAAACTTTAAGTTCGGCTTACAGAGGTTCTACTGTTAAAGTTCTAATAAAGAATATTTATTATTTTACTTAATTTTTAAATTGTATCTGAATATAATTTACATGATGAAGAAAAGGTGATTTTATTAAAATTATTTTACAGTATTAAATTTTACAATTAATCATAAAAACTCACAATACACTGACATTATAATGCATGGAAATAAATTCGATTTTAATTACATCGTGTGTAGATTAAATCTCAAACAAATAAATCTGAAGATATAGAGTTAGTACATCGTGTCATGTATAGCCGAGCGCATCACCCGCCCCGCGTCCCGCAAACCATCAGGAGGGCCAAGCTTACGGCGGTTTAACTATAATTGATAAACCACTCTGCCAAGAGCAACATGACAGACAAGAAGAACTGGAATGAGTATTTAATTTATAGAGCATTCATCATTTGTTTCAGTGAAATGTTTATGTCAGAACCAAACTGATTAATATCGTACTACTCAGGCAGAAAGAATTTATTGAACTCCCAACAGAATATAGCTGTCTGTCTACGTATACAATAGATAGTCTTAAATTCGTAAACGGAGGCTGGAAAATACTATTTCTGAAATTATTATATTTAAAAAAATGTTTAATAAAATCACATATCATTATATACCTTTGTGTTTTCTGTTAAAAGAAAATAAAAAAAAAGATTATATGATTGTACCTACATGAAATTACATCACTAGTTATTGCTTCCATAACGTCGTTTGACGAACTAGTCTTATTTAACTTGTATTATTGTCATAATAGTCTCTTTAAAGGCAGCTCATTACTTGGTCACGTAATCTAAAAGTACTAAATTTAATAATAATTAATTATTATTGTTTAATTGCAGGCTGTAGAGGTTATTTTACATCCCGCATACCACGATGATTATTCCACAGCAGACTTGGCTATCATAAGAGTACATAGCTTCAAGTTCACCGAATATGTTCAGCCCATTTGTCTTTGGGGGCCCGTCTACGATAAATATAGTTTGTTTGGCAAGGAAGCCACGGTACGTAAATTGACGTCATCTTTACAAATAATTAGAATTGTAGTGTCTACACAAAACTTTCGGTTTTAATGTCCAAATATCGACCGTTTTCGAAATTTATTAGAATGGTTACGCAATACTCATACAAAAGAAATAATAATATTTGTCTGTGAGTCTATATCTTATAGCGTTTCTTCAAAATACTTACTCCTCCATACATTTAAACGTCTTTCTAAATAACGTGTTTGACAAAATGATTTATGTTTTTTTTCTATTTCTCTCAGTCTCAGGTATCTGAATAACTAATATACATACGTATTGGTGAAAACATAAAATAATTTATATTTCTATTAAAGAAAAAACCTTCTGAACATTGTTTATAAATCGAAGTTAACGATGCGTTATTATAAAGATTGAAAACGAAAAAGATATATAGAAATGTTCAGGTTTTCTTTTCTTTATTTGATTGGCTGTGTATAAAGGTCTCTTGTCTTAATTACAGGTCGTTGGATTCGGTTCAACTGAGTACAACAAGCAATCCGAAACATTAAGATCCACTTACACAATGGTGCAGAATGATACCATTTGCGTTACTTTCTCTCCGACCATCTACGCTAGATTGCTCAATGAATTTACATTCTGCGCTGGATATGGACCTGCATCTAGTAAGTTATTTTATTTTTCACTCACTAGTTTGACTAAATTTAACATTAACCAGTCGCGTTTAATACTCAATTTAGTTTGACAGTAAACTTATCCCGCAAAGTTTATACAATCCTCTGGCTTGCCAAGACATTCTTGCCTTTGAGATACACTTGCTTATTACCATAACTTAGTTACGGTTTATTCACCACATACAGTAATTTAAAAAAAATCTTAACTTTTACTAAATTAGAATAAGAGTAGAGAGTAAGCCTATAATTATTATCATTGGTTTGTATTAATCTGATATCGCCTTGATATGCAATCTACTATATGCTACTAAGCGACACAATTAGCAAAATTAGTAAGGTATATATTTATACGTACGTAAGTACCCAGTACAACATCTGACGATTCGAATGGTAATAAAACTCTTTTACGTAATTCTGACGCTTAGCAAGGATTGCCTTTTATGTTTTAACGTAAACTTTAATTACTATGTGTGTAGAATTCTAGCATAGTAAAGAATATCAAAACAATTCAATGGAAATATAAATATTTCTGAACTTAAACCAATATGATTTTTCCAGCTATTAATCCACGTAATGGAGACAGCGGCGGAGGTCTCGTGATTCCTACAATTCAGAATGATCATAAAGTCAGCTGGTTTTTGCGCGGCATTCTTTCTAAATGCGGCGTCTCACCGGGCCACCAGGAATGTGATCCGAAATACTATGTAGTTTACACCGACGTTGCTCCACACTACGGCTGGATCTATCACCATGCAGGCTTACAATTTAGGAGTAACGTGCTTGTCTCTTGATAGTGGACTATTATTTTCAAGTCTCAAATTAGTACGACTTGTCTCAAGGAATTGAAATTAAGTATTATTGATTAAATCGCACATTTTATATTTGATTTTTCTATCTAAAGTTTCCTGCACAACTCTCTTGTGTAAAAAGGAAGTTAGGACAGATTAATGGTTTAAATATTGACATCGGAGGGCTTAGGTCACGATGAATCCAAATAATTTTTACAGTTACACTTGAGATCAAAACTTATAGAAAAAAAGTTACCATAACTGGAAATAATGTAAGATTGTTAGTAAATGTATTGACTGATAAGTATGTTAAGAATAGCTTTAGTTTATTTTTTTAAGTTTCTATTTCATAAAACTAAATATGTACAGTAATGATTATATATTTATAATTACACCTATACGTAATACTAATAGATGTCTAGTTCATGTTTTGTAAAAATAATAAAGCTAATATATTATTATTAATTTACCTTCATACTTAAACTTACCTACCTTAATAAGTAAGTGAGTTAACTTAGTGATTTGCTAACTCGATAAAGTAGAATTGCAGTAAATTTATATCATTTTTTTTCATCTCAAGGTTTTCCGGAAGAAGTTGCCATAGAGCGCTAAACCGTATTGTAATTTATTTTATCCTGCCATGTTTCTGATGTACGATAAAAACATCATTATAAAAATGCATCAATAGGTGATATCAAGTAAATGTAAACAAATTTACAATTTAAAATAATCTTTTTTATATAAAATGCCAGGATACTTTAAAATTGCCTCAGTGTCACATCAGCCGGAGCACCACCCCTGCATAATTTATTAGAATCTTATTAAAAGTGTCAGCGAACGAAAAAGGATAACTTCATACTTTAAAAATCTCTATTAAGGCTTTTTACTTTGAAAATTGCCGTATTATGATTTTTAATTTAAGTCCTTTTTTTTGTTCAAACTGTTGATTATAAGGCTGAATGGCTAGGAGAAGTAAGTAAAATATTGGTTTCTCTGAACTTTTTGATTAACTTGATAAAATCTTCAAAAATTGTGCTCTCCTTTAATATTTTTTTCCTTACATAAAATTAAATCTATGATAGGCTCTAAAATATTTTTATATACAACTTGCAAGAAAAAGAATGGTTTTCAATCAAGTTTTCTTTGTTTTTAATTTAATAATTATCATCATCATCAGCCTTTAATAGTCCACTGCTGGACATGGCCTACTATACCACGCTGGCAAGACGGGTGGGTATAGGGTTTGTGTTCTCAATTAGTTACATAATATTATTACATGTATACAAATACATTATGTCACCTGTTATGCTTCGAAAAAACTTAAAAGGATTTATCGTGAATTTTTGAGTTGGTACACGTAATATTTTTTAGTCTAATTGTTATGAAAAGGAATTAAACATTTTTAACAATATGTGTTTTTTTTTTTAAAAAACGTAGAACCTGTTAGACCAAGCTACACGCATTAAGTGTATGTATACCTGTTATGGTAGTTATCCATACTTATATTGTAAGTAAAAGTGAGTTTGTTTGTTTGTTAAGCCTTCACCCCTAACCCACTAAACCGATTTTAAAACTTATTTTACCAATGGAAAGCTACATTATTAGCAAGTAACATAGGCTACATTTCATGTCAAAATGTCAATTTAAGCTTTACTGGTCATAAAAAGAAAATTATTGAAAGTTAATGAATTACTCATAACTACTCGTACATGTATAATATGTGGCATTTTGTAAGCAGATGAGTTAGAAAGGAGGGACTCAGCAACCACGGTTACGGGCCCAACCATACTGCTGCCACTACCTTTCAACCAAATTTAATTCCTGGCAAGGCAACGGACTCGTGAAGCACACAACCGGGGGTGGAAAACTCACCCGGCTGCAGACAGTCCAAACTGGTTCTAACTGAAGTCACACCACGACTCATCTGCAGATTGATCACTCTTAGCAGACTAGAAATCCGAATAGTTGTAGGAACTATAACAGGACACCTGAACCGACAACTATTCATCATCAATGCGACGAACAGTAATCTTTGTAAAGGATGTCTGAAACAGAAGAAACGGCCGCCATCGTAATCCTGGAATGCGAGGGACTGGCCACATAACGGGCAAAAATCATTCCTGATACAAAATTACTCCTAGAAGCCTGTAAACTCCCCAGGAGAATTCTGCGCTTCTAGAAGAGCTTGGTTGGTTCACCTAGCCAACTGTCCTTAACGCATAAAGGACCATTCTTGAGTAAAAATGCGGAAACCGGAGCCCACAACCAATACCAACAAACCAACCAACCAATACCAAATATTTTGTAAAACCCATCCTCTCAATATGTATATATTTACCTTCGTGGAGATGCAAAGAATTCTTATTAAACTAATAAAACTATTAGTTGTATTAGTCTACTAAGAAAGGAGCATGCTCAAATATTACACTTTATTTCTTTAATTTCGTACCCCAACAGAAATTAGTGCTACTCGACAGAGGCACTTAGTGCTTTTCTGTAATTGAATTTAAAATAAATTTTTGTTGCCCTGTTCCCTCAGACACAGGTGCATAGTAAATGTGTAAATAGTATTTTTGCCTCACCTCACCTCACCCAGACAGAAGCTGTAAATTTAGAAGTCTAAGTCCCAGCTGTTAAGAATTTTGCTGCTATAAGGTCGATCGTATGTTCTTACTAAGAAAAAACAAGTATACGAATTATAGAACTTTTGGGGTACAGCTAAGCTAAACCTGGCTTTAATGAGGTAATCTTCAGATGGTGCTAAATAAAATGAATTAATTATAATAATAATATGAATGCCGTGGAGCGGAACACACCGCTCACACGGCCTTCTGACTCCAAAGACCTCAATAGTCGATGAAGGCAATAGTACCACTAGCCTTCATACAATTTAGTAAATACTGATCAAGAACCAAAATAATTATTTCACGTTACAAAGAATGAATTAGAAAAAGCTTTAAATTGTATTTTTAACATACAAAATGTACCACATTTGCACATAACGACAGAAACAACAAAACGATATACAAGAAATGAAAGGATACAAAAGTACCTAGCTCGAACATGCTGCGAACCAACGAAGCTTTGCGACTAGACCACCGGTGCATGAGCTTGCATTAAATTAGACGACAACAAACATACCCAGCACACTGGAGACTGTATTGGTATGAAATACTTAAGTAAGTACGCTTCAGTGCTTATTACAAAGCGATATTTGCCCGCGAGATATCTTCTATGGAGAAATTTACCGATTTCAAGAAGCAATTATTATAATAGTTGGTGTATGTTTACCTACATATTGCACGATAGAGCCAAACGGAGTTAAAATGCTCTAACTGCTTTCTATTTTTCTGCAATAATTATTTGTCCGGGGTTGGAATTGAACCCATGAGCTCTTTTTTAAACACTATTTTTAACCAGTAAGCCACAGCTCGCGTAACATATAATTATGATACTTCTTTTGCATTAGAGGGATAACATACCGTTCTGCATCAATATCACAGTCAACAAAACTAGGTACTGTAATTTAAACAGAAAGGTATTGAAATACTTTCAGAAATTCTCGACCGAGCAATTACGTGTACGAAGACACCTGCTAACTATGCCTTGCCTAACTTCATGTTATTAATGACCAGAAGGGTGAATAAGGAAGTCATTTAATTAAGTAATTAACTCTAGAAACACTGTAATCGCATGTAATGTCGCCGTTACACTGACTGCGTTTATAAAAGTAAAACTACGGTTACCACAAAAAAAATCCCTAACATTTTTTGATAAATACTGTAGAACCTTATAACAATTTATATAAGCTTTAAAATCCTGAAACAAAGACTAGAAAAGCGCAAAACGTTTATAGCTATTTTGTCATGTTTTCTTTTTTGTAGGTATTAAAGCAAGCGTCAAGTAATCCTCTGTTTTCCATGTAAAAGCATTCCACACCTGGGATCCTTACGTGACACTACGCAATAAAAGCGTTTCTGTTGCAAAGTTATGCGTTGAAGCTAATATCAACTATACGTTCAAGAAATAAGGTTGAGTTTAAGAAACCTATTAGAAACAAATGAAGTCTAAACGGGGTCAATGGAGCAAGAAGCTGAATGCGTTTGGTAACTTAGAATAGGTAAAAGACCAGAATGCTAGAATACTCTTTGGTGTTTCTGAACTTTGTTGAATATGTATAATTATTTGTAAATACTGCGACCTTTTTCTGTTTATTAATTATAAATACAGTTAAATTTAAGTCATATTGACTTGTATGTATGTTGGTGAAAGAACCTTTTTATAAATTTATAACTCAAATACACATCGATGTAGTTATGACCGAACTTCTACGACACTTGACGTATTGTAAATACATCTGTTGTTTTACAAAGAACCGTATAATGTAGTACTCGGGTGAATTTACAAGTGCAAAAAGCACACAAATATAGGTAATTTATTTTTGTTATACTCGTAGTTGTTTATTGCGCTTGTGAGTTTTTAATATTAAATAATTAAGACCTGTAGGGAAGAACCTTTAAAAATAGAACTGTGTTGAACTTATGCGATGTGATAACTATGTCTATTCTGTATAAATTCCCAGTAATTTACAAATACAAATTAAGATCGATGTTAAAACCAAAGACAGCAAAAGAGATTGCATGTAAGGTTTGCATTAATAGAAATTTAAACCCTGATTTACATGTTATAAAACCACATTTGTTATTTATTAAAAGGGCAATCTGATGCATATACCTTTTCAAATAATGTAAAATCTCGAAATAAAAATATATATGTGTATTTACCAGTTTAAACTACATTATTTCGAATGATCCTTCAATATGCGTTAGTCTTAAAAAACATTTTATTTAATTATTGGTTATAATAATCTTTTTATCCTTAAATAACAGAATAACCAAATTTATTAGATATGTTAAAATACTTTTGTACCATGCATAGGTAGCTCAGTTAGCTAATGTTAGATCAGTGCCTCCTTTAAGTAAATTACTGAGAAATATTCCATA